TAGGTCTGTATCCCAAAGGGATTAAAAAAAAAAAAAAGAAAAGAAAAAGGACCTGTAGGTAACCAAAATATTTCCAGCAGCTCTTTTTGTGGTGGCAAAATAATGGAAATTGAGGGGATGTCCATCAGTTAGGGAAATGGCTAAACAAGTTGTGGTATATGATTGGGAAGAAATACTATTGTGCTGTAAGAAATGACAAGCAGGATGCTTTCAGAAAAACCTGGAAATATTTACACACACTGATGCAAAGTGTAGTGAGCAGAACCAGGAGAATATTGTACACAGTAACTGAAATATTCTGTGATGATCAACTGTGAATGACTTAGCTATTCTCAGCAATGTAATCATCCAAGACCATTAATTCCAAAGGACTTATGATAAAAAATGCTATCCATATCCAGTGCCAGAGAAGAACTGGTGGAGTTGGAATGCAGATTGAAACATACTTTTTTTTTTTGGTTTGGTTTTTCTTTCGTAACTTGACTAATCTGGAAGTATGTTTTGCATGACTGCACATGTAAAGCCTACATCAAGTTGCTTTCCCTTTCAAGGAGGGGGAAGGAAAGGCAGGGAGGGAGAGAACTTGGAATGCAAAATTTTTAAAAATGAAAAAAATTGCTTTTACATGTAATTGGAGAAAAAATAAAATAATAAATTAAAAAAATAAAACAATGCATCAAAAAAAGAGGGAAGGCTCACCAGTGGATAGCTCCTGCCTCTCCTGCTATCCAGTCCACATCAAGAGATCTCAAGGAAGTTGGCTGAGACGGCAGGTAGACCCCCGTGTCAGATGATGGCATGTACAGGGATGGGCTGCACCACTGTGCCCTCTCATCTCTGCTAACCGTGGTTTTTTCATTTCCAAGTGATAGTAATAACAGCTCCATCAAAGGTTTGTCATGAGGATCACAAGAGACAGCATGTGATAAAGTGCTGTTTCAAGTGCTGCCTTGCATCGTGTTTATCTGTGTAGCTCTTTTACTGCTGTGTTAGCTAAGAAGCCCCTTGAGGGGCAGAATTGTGTTGTTTTTCATCTTTATGTTTCCAACATCAAGTGTGATGTTTTATGACTATGGCAGGTGCTTAACAAATGTTTGTTGCATTGAAGGCCGTGAAATTGGAGGAGATGCCTTGTCAAAATAACCACAAATTCATTTGGAGGAGACAAAAGCCTAGAATCTAGAGGAAGCAGTGACAGAAGGAAGGAATGACAAGGGCTTAGCCTCTCTAGCCTTCAAGCTAGAGAATAGAATAGAAATGACTCATGGAAGGGGTCCTTTGACCAGAAAGTAGGAAGGCAGTTTGTTAAAGGTCAGGGTTAGAGCAGTAGCGCATTCCTCATGATCTGTCTACCACAAGAAGCTCTGAACGCCAGTGTAAATAAATGTCAATGGCTTCTTCAAAGAGAACAGAAAGAGGTTCCTTTCATAACTACGGCTAGTCAGAAAATTCTTAATTAAAGGATTCAGATGATCATTTTAGACAATTTTCCTTTTGTAAAACTTGAAAGCTTTTGCACAGACAAAATCAGACCATGTAGAATAATCAGAGAGACTCTCGAATGGGAAGAACCATCTTTGCCTTAAATATTGCTGCTAACTTTGTAGTGTCCAAGAAGTACAACAGGGAATCGCCACAAAGCCGAGAGTCATTGCCCATGGTGACTGTGGGGGCAAAGGGAAGGAGGCGGAAAGGGGAGCCAGCAGTGACTAGAATGTAGAAACAAAAGGCAGGATAGACAGTCAAAACACGGGAAAAAATAGGCTGAGTCTCCTAAGAAAAGAAGACTCACAAGGGTGAAGGCTGAAGCCTGGTTCTCCAGGAGCCGAAGGAAGTGAGTGGAATCCTCAGAGGAGCCACATAGGAAACCAGTGGAGAGATGAAACCTTATTGTGTCTCCAGACGCAAAGGGCAGGAGGGGGAGCAGTTGATATTGTAAGGGGGATTGTCGAAACCAAGAGAGAGGTCAAAGGGTAAGGATTAAACCAAGGTCACTAGAGTTGTCTTTGTGGGTTTCATTGGTGGCCATAAAGGGCGGCACCATGTACCCAGCAGATGCTTAATAGTGCTTGCTAATTGTCAGGGACAGAATCCATTCTAACTTTGTGGCATCTAATGATGCATCCCGTAGAGCCACCACACTATTTTTTTTTTGACTAGCAATGGGGTTAAGTGACTTGCCCAGGGTCACACAGCTTGTACGTGTCAAGTGTCTGAGGCCGCACCACACTATCTATTCAAACTGAACTTAATAGAATTAATGGAATGAGGAGAAATGCTCCACTTTTACAGTGTCACAAGGTAGAATTTGAGAAAAAAGATTCAGGAAAAGTTAAGAGTAAATTCAATGATGAATAATTTTGCAATATAATAATAACCGAATTTATCTAACATTTTAAGGTTTGCGAAGTGCTTTAGAAATGTTATCTCACTTTCTCATCACAATCCTGGGAAGTAAATGCTTTGAATATTTCCCTTTTACAGGTGAGGAAACTAAGCCTGAGAGCAGGCAAGGGACTTGGCCAGAGTTAATGAATTAATAATCATTGATTAAGTGCCTGCGGTGTGCCAGGGACTGTGCAAAGCACTGGGGATGCAAAAAGAGGCAAAGGACCATCCCTGCCCTCCAGGAACTTTGAGTCTAACGGGGAAGACAAGAAGCCGACAGTAGGAGGGGTTGGGGCAGGCTTCCCTGAGGAGGTGGGTTTTAACTGGCCCTTAAAGGAAGCCAGGGAGGTCGTAGTTAGAGTGAAGGAGCCACCGGATGGAGGCTTTTGTTTGTGGAATAGCCAGGAGGCCAGTGAAGAGTATGTGTGGGAGAGGGAGGGGGGAGAAGACTGGAAAGATAGGAGGAGGCAGGGTAGGAAGGGCTTTGAATGCCAAACACAGCGTTTTATGTTCGATTCTGGAGGCAGTAGGGAGCCACTGAAGTTTATTGAGTAGGGGAGTGCACTTTAGAAAGTCACTTTGGTGGCTGAATGAAGGATGGATTTGAGTGGGGAGAGCCTGGAGGCAGGTGATCCTCCAGCAGCGATGGCAGTAATCTAGGCATGAACTGAAGACGGTCTGCAATAGGGTGGGGGCAGTGTCAGAGGAGAGAAGGGGGCGGATTTGAGATATTATGAATGTGAAATCAGTAAGCCGTGGCAAAGTCTTGGATCTGGGGGCTGAGAGAGGGTGAAGAATCCAGGATGCCTCCTGCATTGTGAGCCTGAGGGCCTGGGAGGAGGGAGGAGGAGGTCAAGAGTTCAGGTTTGGACATTAACTTTAAGATGTCTACCGGGCACCTAGGTCAAGGTGTCTGAAACGCAGATGGGGAGATGTGAGATTAGAGACATTGTCTGAGGTCACATTTGAATTCAAGTCTTCCAGACTCCTGGTCCCACACTCAAACCATTGTGTCACCTGGCTAGCTATTTCTGTTTTGGGGGTACTTACTTGTAGTATCAACAGAAAAAAAATCAATAAATAAATTAATTACAAATCTGTATGTTATTTTGAATTTTGAAAAAGTTAATATGAAGACCATTAGTTATGGAAGAAGGCTTTTTCTTTGTTTTTTAAAAAATCATTTGTTGCAAAATGGTTTTATTTTTGTGGTTATCTGTTAAAGTACCACTGGACTCCTGGTTAAATGGTAATGAAGAGCGAGCCTTATTGCCTCTGAAAAGTCTGGCTTTGTGGTTTGCTCCTGCAAAGCCCCTTCGAGAGCTCAGCTCACTCGCTGGTGATTGGCTCTGTTTCTATCCTTGCCTGGAGTTTAGTGATCTCTCTGGCCTCAGTGTTTGAGCCACTAGTCATGGCCTTAGAGGACCCATTTTCCTCGACGTTTTTATCTTTGAGCCAACATGTCCCAGAATGAGAAAAAGTAAAGAAGGCTTCATGAATGGAGGCCTACCTCTTTAGTGAAGGCTACAACATTCAGTGTTTAAGAGAGATTCTTTAGGCATGTTATAGTCATTTTAGACATAGTCATTTTATTTATTGAATTGCAAAATATACATACAGGTCTATCAGGCTTACTGCTTCAGTTCAAAGTCATTTACTCATTTCTTTCTCAGAATTTTAATTGTTCTTTTCTACTTGGAAATGTCCAATGGCATCATTTGTTTTCCTTGTTGGAGGGGACTGAGACCCCTGTGACACTGTCTTTGGTGGAGTACTTATATTGATTCTTTTGTTATGTTCTGACACGAACATTTTTAAAGTATTTTTACAGGTGCCAGGGCTAAAACGCTATAAAATTAATACACTCCATAAAGTACAAAAGACTCATTAATAAGATACAGTGATATAAAATATAAAAGACAATATGACTTAATAATGATGATCAACTGCATTTACTTAACGAGCATGAGCCAATTTAAATACAGTAATTTATTCTGCTTCTTTTGGTTTCATAAATAAAGTATAAAAACATGTGACACGAATTTTTCTCCAATGAGGTATAATATAAATTTTAAGTTTTACATTATGGATTTTCATATGTGTTGCTGAACAGATTGAGTTCAAGTTTTAAATTAATAATATGACAATACTTCATGAATGTAGAAGCATCTGACCTTCACATTTATTCATGTTTATATTTTTTAAGAACTTGGTGAAACTGTGAAATCAGACTGCATTATGAATATAAAAACAAAATTCTTTTCATAAGTTTCCAGTTAATAGGGTGATCTTTAAATGGAAAATAAAAGTGCCCTTGCCGTAGTGTTCAAGGTTGTTTAAAAAAGTCCGTCTAAAATTGATTACAACATCATGAAATATTTGCCCATTCGATGTCAGAAGGCATCTGACTGAGAAAGGTAAAGTTCATGAGGTGGTGTGATGACAGTTTTGACCTTGAAATAAATTTATAATCATTTTAAACTCCAGATGAATTCTTATTAAAGAAGAAAAAGCTACATGAGATTGACCTAGCAAACACCCTAGAACATCGGTTGGCCCTTAATGCCTTTCGAAGGTCTTTCTTGCTGATTATTAAACCACAGTAACTTGGGTTGAGTTTAATGTTCAGTTTATTGGTTTTTGGAAGCTTGCCTGTGCTCATTCAAAGCTTTCCAGGTCTGTTGGGTGAATTAACATTTTGGTTGTCTTGAGGGCGTAGAGTCTTCCTTTGGGAGACTTCCAGTACAGGCCCCTTCTCCTCTCTGGCTTGCCCTTCAATGGCACCTTGCTGTATTTGCCGTTCAGGTTGGTTTCTCCACATACGTTGTCCCACCACCAGCCGCCTAGGGAAGATAGATTGCGTGAACCACACAACACCTTTTCCGCTACTGCCCTGTCTCCCCTCCTCACCTCCCCTCGTTGGCCTGGAGCACGTGGTGGCCCTCAGCTGTGCTGGCGGGCCTCTCTGCTTCATCCAGGCTGGCTCCTGTTCTTGGCCTTCCTAGACCTCAGCAGCCCGGAAGCCTGGTTACTCTTGGGCCACATTTAGTGCCTTAGGAACAGGCCTGTGGGGCTTGAGGGGATGAAGAAGGCCTCATGCTGCCAGTTATGCGGATTCTAGCTCTCGTTCATGGTTGGGTCTTGGATTTTAGCTGTACTCTCCACTGCAGTTCACATGCAGGGGATATTCTCAGGGTGGTTCATTGGGGCAGAAAAGGTAAGGTGACCTTCTAAAGTATATGCAAAGATAATCCTGCTGAGGACAGGAATTTGTCACCCCGACTAATGTCTGAACCCTGTCCTGGTCGATGCTGCCTTCATTTCTCTACACTCTACTTTCTTTTAGATGCTGTGACTATGTCTCCCTAGGGAGTGCACTTTTGTTTTCTCTAAATAAGATCGTGTCTCAAATGTGTTTAAGAACTTGAATATGCTGGTAAACATTGTGTATTTCACCAAATATGCTAAAGGAGAATTCCTGGGGCTTTAAAACAGGCAAAACTCCTAGTTCAACTTGCACCAAATGAACTTCTTTTTTCATGATAGTTGGGAGATTTTGTTGATAGGTACAATTGACCCTAATTCTTCAAGTTTTTTCATGTAAACAATACTTAGGTGTTATTTTTATTCAGTTACTTAGCACAGTATTTCTCATATATGCAAATAAAGTATTAATATTAGTCTAAACAAGAGTACCTGAGTAGCTTTCTGGGCAGTTCAGATAGTTCTTTGCATTATGATCCCAAGTCGAAAAAGCAAGGTCTTTGTGTTCTGGGATTGCGTTGGGAATGTTGCCTAGAATCTCCGACAGGTGCAGAGTGTAGTCTGTTTCTTTACTCCCCAGGGTGAACGAATACTCAATGTAACGCTGGTTGTCTTTCCAATCTTCCAGCTCGATTCGTAAAATGTAATTGGATTGCTTAACTATGGAGTAGATCTTCTCTAGGCCCAGCCAAAACTCTCCTGCAAAGAAAAGTATTGTGAATCTGTAAATGTGAATTGCAGGTGGGGCACAGTTATTTAAAAGGGTTTGATCTGTTGGTTTAATTAAATCAATGTTATTAATATTCTGATCATTTTAGATGGTCTCTGAAGTATTCCTCCTTGTTTACTTTCATGAGGAGTAAAACTGAGAGATTGGAATAAGAATGTGACATCTTACATTTTGGAAAAAATTAAAATCTGCTGGTCGAGTTGAAAGCCTAGTTTTTAAAAGGGACAGCATATGCCATATGTGAACCGGGCTAGGTGTTTCGTTTTGTAGAAAACTCTTTAGGTCCCTATGTTAGATCATTTCATTTCCAAATCTCCAAAATTATTATGGAATACAGTTACGTATGACATTGAGTTATTTATTAAGAGATATCAGATGTTTCAAACACCATCAGAAGGTTTTTTTTTTTCAACTTAGCAGCAATATAAATTGGTTTCTAAATGCCTTAAATTGAAACCATTGTTATCTCTTCAAATGTAGACTTGGTCTTTTCTTTCTGCCTGATGTCTTCCAAAATGATATGTTTTGTCTAGTCAGAACTCAATGTGTGAATACGTTTTTATACTTTTTTAAAATTAAAAGTTCACAAACCTTCCTGTTCCTTCAGTCGGCACATGGATAAATCCGGACTTTTGTCCTTGAAAATGCACTTTTCACATATGTAGTCAGTTCTCTAGTTAGAGGTTTGGTCCATATAATTTTGAGGGTAAACAAAGCATTTGATGAGGGAGAGAGGAAAGGCCATGACTCTGTGTGATTGCTGGCTGGTTTCTTTATATGTGAACCTCAGGGGAGAAAGGCTGTGATTTAAGGATAACAAGCCTGTAGGTGCTGAGTGTTTGCTTTTAACATGACAGCCAGGGGGCGCAATAGCCTTTATGGGTCATGTTCCATTCCCAGAGTTATGCCAACTTAGCAACTAGTATCTTAAATGTGGTCTAGGACCTCCAAGACCATCTAGTCTGAGTCCTTCCTTTTACAGATGTGGAAACTGGGGCCCAGTGAGGGTAAGTGATTTTGCAAAGGTCACCCGCTAGTGAGCGTCAGAAGCAGGATTAGAACCCAGGTCCTCTGCCTCCAGAGTCAGGATTCTTTCTGCTTACCTCCCCCGTCTTGTCGTGCCTTAGGAGTGGACTTGATGGGATTAGGTAATCAGTGGATAATCACATTGATAATCACTCATTTTAAATTATAAATAAGATATTTTTGGGAAAGATTCATTTTAGGATAGGGTAGTTGACAACATATCAAATTTGACATTTTTAAAAAGGGAGCTTGAGTTGCAATGAATTTTTCTTATAATTTCATTCAAGAGATGAAAGATAGAGTCTGTAAAGTCCTTGGTCACCAGTAACAGGTGTAGTATTTTTGTTCATACAGAGGTTATGTCTCAGATAGATGCTTCTGATAAATTTATTTACTGTCAACCAGCACTCTCTATCACAAATTTTTAATCCTTAAATACATTATTGGACTTTCTGTGTTCCATGTTAACATACGGGAAGAGATGTTTGTGGTACAGTGGATCGAGATCTGGCCCCGGGGTCTCTAGGCCTGACTCAGTGCCACATTGTGACCCATTCATTGTGTGTGATGCTGCCCAAGCCGACCTCTCAGCTCTGTAGGCCAGTGGTTCTCCAAGAGAGTCCTTGAGGCCAGAGCTGTTTTCAAAGGTATATTACAGTGTGATTCGCCAGTTGAAATATTCTCACTTTTTCCACCTACATATCTATGTGAGGCTGGATTCTTTGTAGACTTCAACTGAAACATGCTATTGGAACAGATTGAATATGGGAGAATCCCGCTGTTTTCTCCTATAGACACTGAAAAGATTTGCAAAAAGATGTAAAACAATGCTGTTCTTCTCACTAAATGTTTGGATTTTTAAAAAAATATTTATCTCTTGTAAAAATATACTGTTTTATATTACCATGTAACTTGTTTTTGTTATTTTTAAATGAATTAATATATTTCAAAAATTGATCAGTTTTAATTCCAACATGGTAGATGTTGACATGTATCCCACAGAAATAGATGCTCTTGGAAGGGGTCCTCAATTTCTAAGAGTATAGGGAACTTGAGATCCCTAAAGTTTGAGAATTGTTGCTCTCATTAAGCTCTAAGATCATAAGTTGCAGTGAAGGGGTGTCCTGATCTGAGAATTCATTACACACCAGTGAGCTTTTTTTTCCCTTTCCAGTTCTGGGTATTAAGAAGGAAGTCAGGTGCCCTTACCATCAAGACTCCCAAAACCATGCTGATAGTTCTCCCAGGTTTCGTTGAAATTTTGTGATCCATCCATTCGGTGTTGAATTACTGTCCATGAGCTGCCTGAGGATGAAAAAACATTTTCAGTTACTTATAGTGGTTTGTTTTAATGCTAACAAATAGAGGACCCATGTGCAAAAATATTTATTTTTATGATCAATTGCAATGTATGATAGTTTATAAATGCTCTATGCTGTTTTTCTGGTGGGTGGTCTAGTGAATAGAGCTCTGGGCCTGGAGTCAGGAAGACTCGAGTTCAAATCTGGCCTCAGACACTTATCAGCTGTGTGATCCTGGGCAAGTCATTTAGCTTCTGATTGCCTCAGTTTCCTCAACTGTAAAATGGGGATGATAATAACATCTACCTCCAAGGGTGGTTGTGAGGTTCAAATGAGATAATAATTGTAAAGTGCTTACCACAGTGACTGGCACATAGCAGGCCATTATAAAAATGCCTTCCCCCTTCCTCATTGTGAATTACAGAAATCTAGAAAAGTTGAGCAAAGAGCACCTGAAAAACTCCCTAATCACATCAGACTCTGCTCATTTTGATCTGATACGTTTTAATTAGGATGTGCTTGACACATATTGGTATTTCAGTTTGATTCGTTAAGCATTTATTTATTAACGGCTCCCTCTCTGGCCACCATTGTGCTTGCTGCTGGGGTACAAGGACCGCAATGAAGCGTGCCCCTGCTCACTGAGGAGCCTCTCATCCTGGAGCCCCAAGACATAAACAGAGTCTTCTAAAGGAGAAATCCAAGCTATCAAGAGCCATCTAAAAGCACTTTGAGTCATGAATAATTAGAAAAATGCAAACGAAAGCAGTTCTTAGGTCCCACCTCCTACCCATCCGGTGAACGAAAGCTGACCGAAAAAGGAAATGGTGGATGTTGAAGGGTCTGCAGAAAGCCAGGTGCCGGGTAATGCCCAGTCTGGGCATCTGGCCTGGTTCCTCCAAGAGCAGTTTGGCACGAGGCCCACGGAGTTACCCAGCTGGCACACTTGGGACCTGCCGGAGCTCTGCAGGACCTGGGTGCCAAGGAGGTAAACACCAGAGGAAACAGACCCTGTGCACAGAAGTCACTGTAGTGACTCGAGTTGGAAATGCAGGAGTGGCTATCAGTGAGGGAGTGGCTGAGCCAGAAAGGGACTCCAGATGGGATAGAATGTTTTGTGTGTGCGGTAGACCTGCCAGAGGAGATGGTTTCAGAGAAGCCTGGGAAGACGTGTATGGACTGATTGATCCGCAGTGAAGTAAGCAGAGCCTGGAGAAGCATTTCCACAGCAGTAGCAGCTCTGTACGGGCGAAGAACTTGGACAGCTCTGAGGCCTCTGGCCCGTGCAGTGACCACCTGGGATTCCAGAGTGCCGCCGATGAAGTGAGCTCCTCCCTACTCATAGGAGGAGATTGATTCAGGCAGCAGAGTGAGGGCTAGAGCTTTGGTATGGGGCCATGTGCCAGTTGGTTTGGTTGTCCTATGTTTTTTTGTTACAAGGACTTTGTCTTTTTTTTTTTTTTTCATGGTGTGGGTATGGTGGGAGGAGATGAAAAAATCAATTCATTAATTTTAAAAACGCAGTTAATCTAAAAAGAATTTTTAAAAATCCCAATAGGATGTAAGCCCTTCAAGACAGGAACTATATTAATTTTTAGCTTTGTATCGCCAGTGCCTGGGACACATCAGATGCTAAATGTTTGTTGATTTGAATCACATTTTCTAAATAAACACACAGCAACTCTGGGAGGTAGCTGTTATTATTATCCCCATTTTATAGATGGGAAAACAGAGGCAGATGGAGGTTAAGTGACTTGCCCAGGATCACACAACTAGGAAGCGTCTGAGGCGAACTCAGGTCTTTCTGGCATCAAGTCAAGCCCCAACCACTGTGCACCCCAGCCTTCTTACAGCCACTCACTTTTGCTGTTACCACCTTTCTTTTTTCCTTGCATCCCCAGCACTTATCAAAGTACTTTCCATAAAAAACTTAATAATTGCCTTTTCATTGATTCTTTTTAGCATTTCACTCACTGTGTGACGCATAGTAGGTATTATTAAATGATTAGTGAACGAAGCACTGTAGAGGAGTCACGAAGGTGAGAGCTAGGAAAGGTCATTGGATTTGGCCCTTTGGGAATCAGGCTGTGCCCCCTCCTGCCCAGTCACTGAAACAGCCCCACCACTTTTCCTTTGCCTTGTCTTTTTACCTGATTTCGTTTCACAGTAGACGTTGAAGACTTCAGATTGGCTGGGTTTGATGGGGTAAATGCCGCTCAAATGCAGATCCCCATCGTAAAGGGCAGCGCAGTCAGCTGGACCATCTAGAATCAGGGGGGAACAGAGTAAGGACTTGGGAAGTGGCAGGATCACACACAACCTGAACCGTTTTGTCTGAGGCGTTTCTGAGGCCTTGCCTACAGAAAGCTTCGTGACCAGGGCTCCTTCTCATGGTTACTGGTACACAATGACTATTAGATGGGGTTTTAAAACCAGGAAATTGGTGATGGGTCAGTCTTTTCTTCGAGGAGACATTTACAAAGTGTTCCTGAGAACAATGATTGCACCTTGTGATGGAGGCAGGGAAGATGGAACTGGTCAAGGGCCAGTTTCTGAGATTGGTTGGGTTTGGGGTCAGGACCTGGCTCGGGGTCTCTTCCTTGTCACTTGTGTGACGCTCTGGGTTTAAGTAGCTTCACGTGCAAAGGGAGGGGCTTGGGCTCGGTCCTTCCTAAGGTTGCTTCTCCCCCCATTCTCTGCTCCTCAGCTCTCGTCCTGTTGCTGGTGAAGCCTCGTGTCCCTCCTCCCTCGGTTCTGTGTGTGAATCAGGACTGCCGAATGGTGGTTTGTCAAGTCATACGCAGGGGCTCCTGCTGGCCAGACTTGCTTTGTATTTTCACACTCGTAATCCATTTGCTTAGTGGGACATTCCTGTTTTAGAAATGTTCACCTGGGGGATCCTGCCAAACAGCTTTTACAGAGCGCTCACTGATCTTACCCTCATGTTCTTCAGATTTTGTTCCGTTGAGCTGTAGAGAAGGAATGGTCCTTGGCGCTCTTTGCTTTGAAGAAAGTGAATTGTCTGTGGTTTCTTGAAAACCTGTCCTTCTTAGCTGATAAGAGGAACATGTACATATGATTAATTTCCTGAAAACTGCTAGGGCAGGCTGGGGAGAGTGGGTTAAGTGCTGGGCTGATTAAGAGAAGATGAGGAACATATACACATTCTTATTTTTCACAGCCCAGAAGGGATGGTTCAAATGCCTCTGGCCTTCCTGTTTTGTGCCTAGAGATCCCATGTGCTCTGGGAACATCCTGGGACCTCCCAGAGCCTTCTACCTGGCATTAGGAAGAGGGCTTGCCCAGGGATGAAAGCCCAGATTCAGACGACCCCCACTCTCAGGATTGCCTTGGTAGAATACTGTCGTTTATACAGCACCATATAGGCATGGTTTCATTTGCTGCCCACAAATGATGGGGGAGCAGTAGAGCCACCACACTCGTCACATGTCAGTGATGCTTTGAATGTTCTAATTCTCTTTCCTCAGAACAACCCTATTAAGCAAGTAGTGCAGGTACTTATTCTTATTTGGCAGATGAGGAAACTGAGGCTCAGAGAGCATGACTGGCTTGCCTAATCTCACAGCCAGTGAGGGTCCTGGCAGCCTGATGTCAAAGCCAGAACTCTCCTTTCCCCCTTTTCAGAGGGCTTTTTCAAAAACAGCCTTGTAAGGCAGGGGTTGTTGAATTCACGCAGCTAACAAATGTCAGAGCCACCCTTTGAACCTTCCTTCCTCACTCCATGCCCAGAACTCTTTCCATTCCAGTTCTCAAGAAAGGTATGTAATTGAGGCGCCATGTTCCTTCTCCCACTCACCCGATGAAAATGACATAAGCTCTTAGCTCCGTATCTAAAGGACTGTCACCAAGAGTTGCCGGATGCAGCCAGACACCGCTCCTTTATAGGTGCTCCTTAGGGGCTGCTGTGGCAGCCTCGTGCCTGCCCCCTTGGAGGGGAGCATTTGTCCACGCCCTCAGACAGCTGGCCTACAGGCTCATACTCAGAGCAGCCACTACACTTGTTGCCACCCATTGAGGTGGCAGCGATGGAGAGACCCTGGTGGAGACTAGTAAAACGTATAATAATGGTGGCATTTTGTGGTCAGCAGACTGCTTCCTTCACAGCAGCCCTGTGACATAGATGGTGCAAGTGATCATATCCCCACTTTGCAAAAGAGGAAACTGAGTCTTGCTGGGATTGAGGGACCTGTCTAGAGAGGAGCAGAGGAAACACTTGCTCCCTTTCCTGAGCACCCATCTGGTGCTTTCTGCTGCCGATGGCAGAGCGTTGGGACGGCCCTTTCACCGTGGCCTTACCTGGTTTTCCATCTCTTTGATTTGGCTGTGCTGCTTGGTCAGCTGCTGGTACTGCTCTTGGACCGTTTGGAAAAGCTGTTTGATGCTGAGATCTTGCTGCTCTACAAAAGTCTGGAGAAGGAGTCTGGTTAGAGGACATCCTGGCCGGACCTGTCCTGCCCTGATCCTCTGTCCCTGGAGCCCGTCAGCCATTTCTCCCTGGGAATTTTCTGTAACAGTCTGCATATGTGCTTTTATGTTGGATTTCAAGCCAATATTCTTTGTAGCTTTTACTGAATTGGCTTTTTTAATATAACATTCCTTATATGGACCTGGTAAAATGCAGTATTTCAATAGGAGAGGATTTTTAAAAATTCCTCTTAAAACAAGAGGAATTTTTCTCCTTTTTAGTCTTCAGTAATAATCCTAAATGTTTCCCACTTAGTGGTCCTTTAAATTTTTCATTTCATAATTTGGTTTTCTACTTATTGGATCTTATATAATTTTGCTGATAAATGACTAATGATTTCAAAGACATTTTGCTTTGATTTTTTTTTCAATTTAAAAGAAAATTTTTATAAAACATAATGAGGTTTGGAAAACACGGATCTGATTTGAAATATTACATGAGCTTTGATTTTCCTGAAGCTCTTTTCCTCAAAAGCTTATTTGCAAATCCAGCCTCTTTCAGATAACATTTTTAGAAACCCACGACAGAAGAAAAGCTAACCAATAGAGACAGTTGTTCATTGCGTGAGTTGTCTTACCTTAAGGAAAGTCACCTCTTGATATTCCTGGCCTTGGGGTTGGCTGCGATTTAACGTGATTAGCTTCTCTTCTAACACCCTCACTTTCTGCTGGAGTTGCATCTTTTCTTCTAAGAGGTCTTCGAGCTTTGAATTCAGTTCAAGTGACAAATTTTTCATTTCTTCGTTTTTGGCTTGAAGATTTAAGGTTGTTTTGCGAAGCTCTCTTTCTTCTTCCTTGATCTCGTTGGCTTGTAGTGAAAGATTGTAAAAAGACTTGTCAAATATGTTAAGTTTTTGAAATATGTCATTAATTTGATTCTTCGTCTTGTGAACAAAGTCCTTGAGACCATGTCCTAGCTGAAGGAGGCCATTGGCCAAGATCTTGACGTCATCCAGCATGGCAAATCTTGATTTTGGCTCTGGAGGGGGAGAGTCAAGTGGGGGATATTCCTGGTCAATTCTAGAGGAAATAACAAGAGAAACAATTACAAGAAAGAGGGAAATTGCTCTCATTTTTTTTTTCTGATTTGTGTTATTTATAAGAGGTATGGAACTAATTTCCTCTTGTAACTGACCTAGATTGCTGAACTCTATATATACCCCAGTTGCTTCAGAAAAGGTGAGCTGCAGAAGAAAAGATAGTTGATCATTAAACTGTGTAAACCTGAACAAAAGTAACCCCTTTCTTTATTCGGTTAGGTCAGTTTTACTAAGCAATAGTTTTAGGAATTATAAAATAAATGTGCTAAAAGTTGAACATGTAATGATGTGTGGCTGCCTTTCTTTTTAATTAATTTATTTTAAATTTAAATACTAAACCGTAAATAGACAATAAGAAAAGAAAAAGAAACATTTTATAAACTTAAATACAAAATAAGAAAAGAAAAAAGCATGCTATGTATGCAGCAGAATGTAAGAGAGGATTCAAAATATAGAGCAATGTATTCCATTTCAAGAAAGCTATATAATAAATACTACACATTGTGTTCCGAGCTGTCCATCTTTTCTTTGCTTCCTTGTAAGTTTTCTTTTGTCCTCTGCTGTACACTTTTTCCTTTGTTCTTTTTTCCACCTTCCTCCCCCGCCAATTGTAGAAGGCTACAATTAAGTGTGGATATACACAAACACACACACACACATGCATACATATATACATATACTTACACGTATACACGCATACATGTACTTAGATATCTATAATCGTACTCATATATAGACGTGTACATTTCTATGCATCTATGTTAGACTGTACTATACTTATGTGTCCTCCTGTTTCTCTGAGGGTGGATAAACTCTTCTTTCATAAGTTCTAGTCTTTCCATATTTTTTCTGAGTCTACCCACTTGTCATATCCTATATCACAGCAATATTCCAACCCTATAATGTCTAGTTATTTTAAATGGTCAAACAATATTGATTAATATGACTGGCATATAAGGCAGTTTTGCTATTTTTCTTCTTTGATTAAATCTTTCCTTTTTTTCTCTTTTGTTTTCCAGAGCTGGTTTTAGGTTATGATGATATTAAAGTGAATTATGAAGCAGAAATGAGCCCTTTATCTCACAGAAAATGGAATGCAGTTGCCATTAAGGAAGTAATGGATAAAACTTAGAAGTATACCTGTGCTTTTAGAAATATTGAGATTTTTAAATTATTTAGCAATTAGAAGGGTTTACATTACAGTAGATCCATGATGCCATTACCGTGAAGAGACATTCCGAGATGAGGTAGACAGACCATTGATGCCAAGAGTGACAGGCCTTTACCAGAGAGGCATTTTAATTTTCAAAACAACAGCAATAAAACCAACCACTTGTGACCTAACTTGGGATTCCCAAGGGCCTGTTGGGTTGGGGGGAAAGGCTTCCTGGAGGACGGTGTCCTCAAGGGTGACCTTTGCCTGGCCCACCCTACCAGGTTTGTGTTCCTTTTCCTCGTGATTGCCCTCTGCCCTTCTCATGCTCCTGTAACACCGCATTCTTCTTCCCTGCCCCAGTGGTGTGCACACATGGGGGTGTTCAGCTCTGCAGAAGAGTGCCCAGGGCTCATCTGCCAGCCCTGCTTGGTTGGTTCCTAGCCTCTGATGTCACCAGCAGGGAGGGGCACTTACGGGCCAAGAGGCTCCCTTGAGCTCAGAGGGGGCTGAGAATGTGGAAATGTGTGAACATCTGAAGGTCCCAGAAAAGAGAGTGACTGGAACACAGGCAAAATTCTACGTATTGGCCTTGCGGGTCTCTGAGAGTTCCCCAGCCTCTGGGGAAAAATAGCCACCACAAGGTCACTCGAGGAAGCTGGTTTCTATTTGTACCAGATTGCTAATAGGGATTTTGAAATGTGTTGGAAAGTTCCACCTTCGTTGATTTAGACCAGAAATCCCTGTAAGAGAGATATGGTAGCTAACAGAGTCACTGAGATCTTTCTTTAAAACAAAACACATATAAATATACTGAAACCCACTGTATGCATGCATTCCAGTGGACACCCCAGTTCTCCTTTCCTCATCATTTTCTCTCTGTGATCTTTGTCTTTATCTACCCTTCCCTCCTTCCATGCCGCTTTTCCCACTCTCCTCTCACATTTTCTCAACTCAGTGGGGACCTGAGTGCCTTGAGATCCAGAACTTTTGTCTTTTCTCTGTCTCCCCCCAACTTAGTGCCCTGCTCGGTGCGCAGTAAATGCTTAACAAATGCTCTGTTCATTCATTCACCCCTGCATGCGCTCTTATCTTCTTCAGAGACACGATGAAGAACTAAGCAAAAGCAGCACCAGACCAGTAACAGAAACAACAACTTCCAAGGCAGGCAGTCTTGGAACAGTAAACATTGGCGTGTTTATAACTTCTGCGGTTGACACTTTAGTATTTTGTGGTTTTCGTTGAGAGAGGACGAGGAGGAGGAGGAAGAGCTCCTTGAGGACGCTTAACAGGGCATTTCTGGGTGTTCAGGAACTAGAGGAGGCCTCCACTGTGACATTTACTTGAGAATCTGAAATTTAAGTTTACGCGCCTGGTAGTGATGTTTGCACAGAATTGACCATTGTGTATGAATGTCTTGTTAAACTATTTCATCTAGCTGCGTTATTTGTCTATCTTAATTTGCATATTAGATTTGTATAACATTACAATTTTTAAAGGACTTTTACTTTTATATCACAATTAATTTTAATTTCTGGAAAGTTTTATAAGCAGAACTGATGCCGTTATCTTCATTTTACCTATGTTAAAACTGAGGCTCAAAGAGATTAATTGGCTAAAAATTCCTGACTCACAAGAGCCAGAATTGTGATTCCATCCATAACTGCCTGACTTCTGGTTTGGTCAAGCTCACTGCCTCTTGGGCCTTGTTTTTGGGCCAGACACTTTCAATTGACCTCTAGCACAGGGTTTCAGATTTGGAAGATACCTGAGAGGCCTTGTGGTCCAGTCTGGCCCCAAACAAGAACGTCCTCTTCAGCATCCTGCAAAGTGGTCACTTAGACTTTATTTGACTACCTGCCGTAAGGAGGAACCCAAAGTCCTCCAAAGGCAACCTGTCCCTTTTTGGAGTAGCTTCAGTTGTTTAATATCTAATATCAAGTTTAATTTGTCTGTTTTCAGTCTCGACCCATTACCCCTATTTCTTCCCTCTGAGACCAGCAGAAGAAATACGTAATCCCCTTTCTGTCTACTAGCGCTTCAGAGTTGGAGACGACTATAATGACTTCCTTAAATCTTCTCTTCACCAAGTCAGAATCTCCCCCATTCCTTGGCGTGATGTCTCGCTTCTTCATTGTCTCCAGGGCCCTCCTCTGGGCACTGTCTCACTTATGCAGGTTCTTCCTAAAACATGCTGCCTGAAACTGAGCACAGTGTGCCAGATGTGTTCTGCCCAAGGTTGACCATAATGAGAATATTATCTTTCTACTTTACCTGTCTAAATTCTGTAACCTTCTTGACTGACATATCATAAGGTTAACTCACTTTGACCTTATAGTTTGCTAGAATACCAGGCCTTTTTCAGGCATGCTTCCTCTGACTGTGCTTTCTCCAACTTAGACTTGTAAAGTTGATTTTTTGAACTCGTATATAAAACTTTGTGTTTAACTCAGTTAAATTTCATCATATTAGATCTGGCTCAATATTCTAGTCTGTCAAGATCATTTTAAATATTGACTGTCGTACAGTATTTGAGTTGTTCTGCCCAGCCTTGTGTCATCTGCAAATTTACTAGGCATGCCATTTATGTAACTGTTAAACAACACTGATAGAAGTAAGGACAGATCTCTGGTACGTTATGTTGGAGACCTCCTTCCACATTGACAGCAACCATCCGGGACTGCTCTTGGGATTCTTTTGTTCAGTGAGATCTGAAACACTCCAATGGTAGAAGCGTGGAAGTCCGCATCTCCAAATTGTCCACAGGAAGGCCAGGAGAGATTTTTTTTTCTATTGAATACTTTGCTAAAAGTCATTTAATATTTATTTATAGCATTCCCTTGAAGTCCCAATCTTGTAACTCTGCTGAAAGAGGAAAACAAATGAATCTGTCATGACCTGCTCTTGATGAAACCGTGGTGGTTCTTTGGGATACTTTCTTTCTCTTCTAGATGCTTATGGACCAATTCTTTAATGATGCCTTTTAGAATTTTCTAGGAATCAGTTAAGATGACTGTTTGTAGCCTTCATTCTCTTCCCTTTTTTTAAAAATTGAGCCACCCCCTGGCCTTCCACAGTCCCACGTTGCTGCTCCCGTTCTCCACTCGACTCCCAGTGATACTGACAGTTACTTAGCAATCATCTCTGCTGGTTTTTTCAGTACCTGAGGCTATAGCTCCTTTAGGCCAACTACTTAAACTCCTTAAAGGTTGCCGGGTTCTGTCTTATTGTCAATTCCTGATTAGCTATTTGTGTTTGGTTGCTTTCAGTCCAAAGATCATTCTCTTTAGTAGAGAAAACAAGCAGAATAAATATTAAGCCCTTCTGCCTCTTCTCCCCCATCTGTTATCGTTGTCCCGTCCACTCCAAACAACAGTTCTGCCCTTTCTTTGATCTCCCTCCTTTCCCCAGCGCACACAAAATACAAAACCCCTTTTTGCTGTTGTGTATGTTTTTCAAAGTATTCACTTCAGATCCAGGAACATTTTTTAAAAAATCATCTGCTTGTACAAAGCTCTTCACTAGGTGCTGATGGGATGCTGAAGGGATAAAACACATGCATAGATGATGATAGTACAGAGTGATGCAGACAAAGTGCTTTGGACAGGTACACAGAAGACTGTTGTGGGATGTTCAAGGGGGAAAGGTGGTGGAGAGGAGACTCTCCCAGGAAGATGTGAGCTGCTGATTCCTGGAGCTCCTGGCCGGAGCTGGATGACCATGTGCAGAGGATTCCATTCAGATCCACAGTGGCTGAGATGGCTTTTGAGGGCCTTTTAACCCGAGGGGCTGTCAGGCAGCCTGTGGGAGTGGAAGCAGCTTTGGGCCCGGATTAGTTAGAAACCTCAGTCCAGATTGTTCTTCCAGTGGTTACCTCTTGGGTCATTAGGAAACTGCTTAGCCTTCACCTGCAAAATGGGAGGTAAAATCATGTGCATGATGCTTTGTGGTGTAAGTTGTTCTAAGACTCAAATGGTAATCCCAAGGTGCTTCTG